CAAACATGATCGGTGTAAATTTTCAAAATCAACCGGTCCCAAATTCCATAGATCACTAACCGGTTCACATTTCTCCATGGTGTAAAATTTGAATTTACACCTCAAACAAATGCAGCCTTAGTGAATTTACACCTCAATCAGGTAGGCTCCATTTGGTTTGTGGGAAGATTTGGGTGGGATGGGAAAAGATGGGATGGGGGGGAAGGTGTAAAAATTAAACTTACCATTGTTTGGTTTTATATGGGAAAATAGTAGGAAAAATACCCAACGCAAAACAAAGTTCACCTTGCGAGTCTCGAAGAACCTACCTATTGCGAAACTAGAATCAGTGGATTCCTTGCCGGTGAATGCCTTGGTGAGGATCGTCATCGACGATGTTACGTCCTACGAAACTGGAATCGACGGATTCCTTCAATTTGTGTTTGCGATTTGTGTCTGTGAACCAGATCTAAGTTCTACCATGGAAGAAAACCTTCGATTTGTGTATGCACCAATATGGGTTTTACCATGGCGAAAACCTCTCCAATCCGTGTATGTGAACTCAAATTTAGGTTCTACCATTGCAGAAACCTCTTTGATCTATGTCTGTGAACCTAGATCTCTTCGCTATGGATTCTACCATGGTGGAAAGAGCGGAGAGATTTTGCGAACGTAGATCTCTTCGATCGGCTACTGACAACAACGGGGGTGAAAACCAAAGAAGAAATCGCTGGTCATCCGGTGGTTCTGATTGTCAACTACCAAGGATAGTGGGGTGAAAACGAAACTCGAGTTTTTTCGAGTTTTTCCACCGAGATTGCACTGTTTTGGTGCGATCCTGATTCTACGATTTTGGTATCTCGTATCCCATGTTTTTCTCAACCCATCCCCCTATTTTCCTCAAAACAAATAAGAAAAAAAGGAATATTTTTACATCCCATCTCACAAACCAAACGGAGCCCTAATGTTTTTCACAAGGTGTTGCAACCGGTGTCTTTATTAGGAATTTACCTATTTCAAATCTTATTTTTTCGTGTCATTGGAATGGGTTTATGGTTCTGTTTACTCTATTCATTGAATATGGATTCATCATAAATCGGGCAAATTTACTACTAAAGAGACTAATAAAAAACTGCAGCAATCTCTTTTGATTTCTATTCCCTCGAACTTTAAGTTTTGTTTAAAATGAATTTGGAAATTGGCCATTCCTCCTATTTTCGGTTGTTTTCTAGAGGGTTATTAGTATTTCTGTTTCAGTCAAAAGATACACTTTTTTTTTTTACCAACAAGATAAACACTTAAAGAGTGTGTTATGTTATGGGTTTGTTGAATATTTGAATTATTTGTGGTTTGAATGTAGTTTTGCGTAAGCTGTTTTATTTGCGGCACAATCTAAATAATCTATTTCAAGGATCATGGGTTTGGTGAATTAATGCTCTTAGCATTTCTCTCTCAAATAAACATTTGTTTTCTGATGCTTTGGATGGTACGCCATTGCTATTTATATATGGTTTGTCAGGAATGAGAAATATTTCAGGAATCACCAAATTATGTCGTAGAGCCTTCTAGTCATCATTAACCAGGGTTAATCTTCTGGTCATCATCGTTAACCACGGTTTTCAAAATTCTAGGCCCTCACAATATGGTCTGAGTTATAAACAAGATTTACCGCCAAAATTTACATTTTGGGTTAAACATTTGGCATATATTATCATATTCACAGATGCAAATCTATTACTAATAACCTATTCTTGTTACGGGCCCGAGCGTAGGATTGCGTTACGGGTCATTCCACGGCAGGAACCCCTGATCTTCCCTTGCCTTTGGCCTTGCGCATAGACCCTATTTTGACTATCTAGTGGGTGATTTGTCCAAGAGACCACCCGAACTCTCCTCATTATTTTATTGACTGGAAAACTGAATGCTTTACTTCAATTTGTTGCTCCTTAAATAGGAGATTACAGAGGGAAATTCCTTGTTGGATTCGACCAGGCTAGGATAATCCAACTTAAACTAAAACTCCTAATTACCTACTCCTAATGGTAATACAACTCTTACTTAAGAAAATAAAATAAGAGAAAGATAAGGGATAAGATAAGATAAGGGATAAGGATAAGATAGGGATAAGGTAAGCTGGCGGCGAGTTGGCTTGACGTGTCCAGATAAGGGTGGGCCCACCCCTATGAGCTGTCGTGTGGGCCCTGCTCTGCTGCTGCTGCCGGGTACGTGCACGCGGCTCATGGTGCCGCCGCCGCGCAGTGCGTGCATGCGGCTCATGGCGCTGCTGCCGTGCGGTGTCGGGCGTGTGCATGGTGTGTGTTGCGCATTGCCGGGCGGTGCATGCTGCATGCGGCCAAGCGGTGCATGCGGTGCGCTGTCGGGCTGCTGTGCGGCGCTGCCGGGCGGTGCGTACTGCTGGCCGGCCCGCTGTGTGTACTGCTGCCTATGGCTGCGCCGCAGTGCGCTGCCAGATGGTGCATCCATAACAATTCTCATCTTAACGAAGAATCTAACCTGTTTGGGAATATCTGGTGGCAGAATTACAAACGAATGTGCCTTTTGCTGCTGTTAGAGTTTGACTGTCATCACCGGTCTCAGACCCTGAGACCATCGAAAACAATCGCTGAAAGTACAAAGAAACATGCTTCTACCAAATAAAAATGGTACTTATGTTTCCAAAAGCAACCAAAGTAAAAATATTTTATGTAATTTATACTTTTTAAAAATACAAACTATCTAAACAGCGCATTAGATTTAATTGATCAAATTGAACTCTTGTTGTATTACATACCTTGAAAAACAATGGAATCCTGGGATCGTGGTTTTATGTTCAAACTCGCAAAATGTGTTGCATGCATTACAAGAGAGGAATGTTTTGCCTTGATCATGCTATTGGCTTTTGATGACGACTATAGCTCTTTCTTATAAATTTGGCTATGTTTCCTATTGTCATGTAAATAGAAGATGCAACTTGTCAGCCCATGCAGTGGCTCAGTTGGCCAAGGGCTGCCCACATAACTCCCTTTCTTTTGATACTCATCCCATTGAGATACAAGTTGTTCATAATATAGTACCTCTACCTTTAAAAAAAAACAAATATGTAGGATACAACTATACAAGTAGATACAAAATAATATAAAAGGGTTTGCACTTTACATATTTGTAGTTATACTAAGTTTTTTAAAAAGGAATCGGACAATGAATCCTTTAGGGGTTTGATTCTTGGGTTGAATGGTCTGACCGTTCGAATCGAACATACGGCCCATTCTAACAAAAAAATAAAAATGGCAAAAAATCGTTGAACAGTTCGGGTCAGTGGTTTGTTGACCAAATCAACGGTTTTTAGCCAAAAGACAGTTCTAGGGTAAAACGAAAACAGTCAATTGATCGATTCTCATTTTTTTTTTATCTGACTGTTCGGTCAGTCCGGTTTTGAAAACATTGATTCACACTCCTTTCAACATGAGCCTTAATAACACTCTATTTCCGATATGTCGTGGTTGGATGGTGTTAGTGGGAGCCTAAAATCAATTGAAAGCAAAAATCATTTGAACACCTTGAAGGCACAACATCCCGCTTTGGAGACGGGATCTACTCCTCACACAGGGCGCCTCACACCAACCTCACAGTCACATCTCATTATGCATTGGAAACATTTCCCGTACTTATACGTTATTATTCATGAGATATGTTCCCAATGTATGGTGAGATGTGCCAGTGAGGTCAGTGTGAGGTGCCCTGTGTGAGGAGCATATCCCAATTCCCCACTTTGATGCTAAGATGACAATCACATAAAAAATATTGGCCACGTCATGTGGACAATATATCATAGTCGCACATTGATCAGGAACATCCCATAAAAGACAAGAAATAGTAGGAGCGATTTTACAAGATGCAGCTGTAGAGTGTTGTGCACAGTATTTTAAGAATTAAGGCTAATGCCTAATAGATGGGGATGACTTCAAATCAGCCCCCACAATGTCCTACAACATATCCTTGCCATGTATTGGGAACATCTCCCGATGATGACATCATCATTTCTGGTATTATCATCGGAGAAAATCTTATAGGGGCCTAATTTGATATTGACGGGGACATGCTTCATATGCACATTAATTTGTTTACACACTTTTCGTTTCCATTTAATCCCATATGCTCTAAAGCGCCTTGGCCGGTTTGCCCACAGCTCGCCTTTGCATTTTCATGTAAGGAATCTCGTCTCCATTTGTGTTGAATCTCAGTTACAGCATTTCAGTCCATCCCCATGCCTATTTACTCAACCTTGTAGTGGCGATTTGGTTGATGTTTTTTTAGTTTTTATTTTTGTTTTAAATTTGTAAAAAATGTTTGTACATTTGACATGTTCATCTCCAACTTAGTATTTTAAAGAGCTCTATCTTGCATCCATTCTTTAACAAGTATGAATAAATTGAGTTATTTATTCCAAAGAACATCAATGAGGTAGCACAGGATTTTTAATTGAAAATTCAGTTTGGTATATTGTTTTACAATAAAATTTAGCTTGAAACCCAAGAAAATAAACACTTTTTGAATCCCCAAAAATTTTATAATTTAATCGATTTTTGTATGACCACATTTTAAATAAACAACCACTCCTTTGAGCACGGGCCCTTTCTGCTAGTATCCTCTAAAGCGTCTTGGTCCACTTGCCCACAACCTGCCTTTGCATTTTCATCTTAGAAATCTCATCTCCTCTTGGTCGTGTCGTCCGTCATTCTCCCAAATATTTTAGTTATTATGATATTATAATTCTAATTTCCTAAAAATTCATATATGCGCCCTACAGCACATCTAACCGTGTATTAAGAACATCTCCAATGATAATTTCCGGAGATGTTGTGCACCTAAGGCGCTTGTGGGACGCAGATGTCGCTTTCCGAAATAGCCGACTTAAAACGCTACGACTCGCAGAATTGCCGCCAAAAACCCTAAACCCTAAACCCTGTTAAATAAAATATATATGTATAAAATGTTGTCAAAACAGTTGTTACAAGGTCCTTTTGGTTACTGCTCTTAGCTCTTAAACTCCGAACGCTTTCTATCATATATTTCGAGCATTCATTTCCTCCAACTTAAAAACTCTTATTATTGAACCCAGTTATTATTTTCTTTCGTTGTAATGGCAATTGATGGGAGTTTCTCTCTCGGGTCTGAGCTGGAGAGATTTCTTGCACGTTGTCCTCAGCTCCGATGCATTCCCAGATTGAAATCGCTCTCCCAAAAGGTATTAAAGTTACGCATATTCATTTGAGGTTTTCTAAATCGTACTTTATACTCCGTTAAATTCTTTTTTTATGGTAAAATTTCACAGGGAAACAAGCTGAAGGAAGAAGAAGTAGTGAATTCAATAGCGGAGCTGTTTCTGCACCCGAATTATACAATCCCAATGATGGGGTGCTTCCGTCCTATCGTCAGAAAGATTGTAGACAAAGCAGTGGAGTTACTTCGTTTGGTGCCCAGCTTGAAATCAAACTCCAACGATGCGATGGCAGAAACTAGCGAGGATCAACTTATTAGGTCAATGGAGAACACTAATATCGAGGACAGTGTTAATGTCATTGAATTTTACGTTAGAAGCGGGAGGGGCTTGAAGCTTCATGAACTTTCTTCTCTGGCCTTCTGCCGGGCCCTTGACTTAGCACCTTTTCTATTGGAGTAAGCCGCTCGTTCTGTGTTTTATGACTGTACTTTTCATTTTGAATTCCAATTACCAATTATTTGGAAATCAGCTGCTTGTGTTCGCCGTTTTCTTTTTCAACAATTAATTTATAGGACTATTGACATCTCACTAGAGCATGATTGACAAGCTGAATGGCCAATCAACAGTAAAGAAGTTATGCTAGGCGACATAACAGTTTCTGTTACTGCTTCTTTGATCATCTTGATTCTCTGCAGATGAAGTTGTTGTTGTTTGTTTCCTTTTGTCTGTATGTAGTGTTGCATGATGCAATCACCTAAGACATTGCACTTATTTTAATGATATCTGCATACCTGCACAAGGTATTTCAAATTTTAGTTCAAACTATACAACCGTGTCCTTGTCCCATCTGGGTAACATGGGCAATGGCTGGTTTCGCATTTGCTGATCTTTATGATCGACTGCAACTAAAGTTGTAATTGGCGCATATTTTAATCACGCTAGTGCATGTGGAGAGGGGGCATGAAGGTGTAGAATTGCAAGTTTATGAATTACCCTTGTCAGTGATAAGAGAGAGCGGACAATGCTGCTGCTGAAGAGAAAATTGCTTTGGCAATTGCAGAAGCTCAGGTTGACATTTTTATGCTAATAACCTTTGGTAGATCCCTTTATCACTATTGGCCTCCTGTTATCAGTACCATCTTAAGCCTCTTCTCAGTTATTTGGGATATATATTGTTATATCTCATGGGTTACATTCTGCCCAGGCTCTAGGTTTATCTTCAGTTAATTCATTTGGCTTCAGTCTTTATACACTTTTCAATCCATGCCTCTTTTCTGTTTAGACAATTTGAGCTACCCATAAGACATCCATACAAATAAATTCATGGTATTTCCCCAGAGGCATCCACACCTGGTACTGGCTAGATACCATTGTACTTTACCATTCCGATTACAGCATCCATCTCTATTCCCTGAATACAATGAATAACTTTTTCAATAAACTAATAATTGACTTTTTTGATTGATTACATGATTTTGTTAAAGATCCAAAAAGATAAGTGATAGTACAATGATAATTCCCTGATGGAGAAGAAAAAGTAACCCCAGCTCCCAAGTAACTACCCTCAAAGCATAAGATAAAACACATGAGAGGAAAAAGAATGAAACTATTACTACTTTCCTCGATTATCAGCTTTGTAATACAATGAGAGGAAAAAAGAAAGAAACTATTGCTTCTTTCCTGGATGATCAGATTTCGGATGCTGTGATATCCTGAACACTCCTCAGTCCTCCCCAAGCAAGATATCAGCAAGTGGTGGACCTTGGAATCCATCTGAGTAAGATGTTTACTTTGGAAGCAAAGTTCTTCACCTCCTTGAATTTGAGGGCTCCAATCAAAGGATCTACTCCTGTATGGTGCTGCATAATGTACATATATTAGAAAAAAGTTGGGTAAGTTTGGGTTAGGTTGGGCTAGGGTAGGGCTGTAAACAAATCTAGCTGAGTAAGCTTTGTCCAGCTCATCTCAGGCTTTTCCATGTAGGTTAAAGTTCTACCTACCAAAAAAAAAGAGGAGGAGAAATCATCTTAAGTTCAGATTGAAGAAGAAATGTTGGAGGAATAAAGGACTTAGAGGGGGTATAGTTAAAGAGGACTTAATGGATGTGATTGAGGAATTCCTTGAAAGAGGAGATTTAGAGATAAACTTGAACCACACATTCATTACCCTAGTTCCAAAAAGAAAGGGAGTTTCAAAGTTGGCTGATTTCAGGCCAACCAGCCTTGTTCGGGAGCATGCACTAAATTATAACAAAGCTGTTGGCAAAAAGGATGAAGAAGGTGATGGAAAGGCTGATATCTGAAACCCAAGGAGCTTTCAATTGGGGAAGGTTAATTGTTGATGGTGTGCTAATAGAAAATGAAGCAATTGATTTAAGGAGTGGTAGAGCTGGTCTGCTATGTAAAGTAGATATGAAAAAGGCATACAATCATGTTAATTGGAGGTTCTTTTATTTACCTTAAAAAATTGGCTGTGGAAGTTCAATGACTAACTGGACAGCTTGTGGAGGAGGATGGTAGTAGCTAAATATGGGACTAGCAGCAGAAATTGGGACAAGAGGTGATAAGGTCCACTTATGGATGCTGAATATGGAAGGCAAATTATATCCTCATTTCTTGAAGGGCGTAATTATGCAGTTTGAATGGGCAAAGGTTCAGTTTTAAAAGGATCTTTAGTGCGAGGATGGGTTGCTTATGGAGCTATACCCAGATCTTTTTGATATAGCACTAAACAAGAATGCAACAGTGGAAGAATATATGGACATGCAGAATGGAACCAGGCATGGAACCTTAATTTAATAGAAATCTAAATGATTGGGAAGTAACATCCCTCATTGACCTATAACAGATGCAGTATAGTAAAAGGCTGAATGGGGAAGGGAGGATAGGAGGATGTGGCTCTAGGAGAAGTCAGGCAATTTTACTGTCAAATCATTTTATAGCAGATTAGTAAGGGATGGAAACTCAGATCTTCCAAGCTCAAGAATATGGAACAGTAATGTCCTAGCCAAACTGTCTTTTTTATTGTCTGGAATGTAGCTTTGACCAAAATTTTAACTAAAGAATTTAATTAGAAGGGGCATAGAAGTGGATGATGTGGGCTGTCTTTTGCGCAGCAGTAATATGGAATTAATAGACCAGTTATTGCTTCATTGTGAATTTTCTTATAGAACATGAATTAACCTGATGAATCTGTTTGGCGTGGAGATGTGTTTCCCAGGGGATATTAAGAATTTCCTAGGAGCATGGCATTAAAAAGGTTCAAGTAATAACGGTAGAGTGGCATGGTGTATTATTCTGGCAGCAGTATTTTGGGTAGTACGAGGGGAGAGAAATGTGTCGTGTGCTTGACCAATACGCCAAAAGCCTTAAGACTGATGGAATGCGTCAAGCAAAGCACTTCAACCATTTAGGACCATAACATACCAGCCAATGTCTTGGCAGCTCTCACTCTAGTGGTAAGTAGCCCTTTGGCAGCTTTCACTCTGCTCCAGGTAGCCCTTTCTGTGACGGCTTTCACTCTGCTCCAGGTAGCCCTTTCCTGACGGCGTTCACTTTACCTCAGATTGCCCTTTTGGCTTTTCCATGTCAGCTTTCACTCTACTCTAGGTATCCCTTCTCCCAGGTAGCCCTCTCTGTGATTCGAACTTTGAGACGTGGGGATAGGTTCTGATACCAAATGTTGTGTGCTTTACCAATACACCAAAAGCCTTAAGACTGATGGAACACGTCAAGCCAAGCACTTTAACCATTTAGGACCATAACATACCACCATGCTTCCGTAGCCTACGTCTTGGCAGCTTCACTCTAGGCAGCTCTCACTCTAGCGGTAGGTAGCCCTCCAAGCACGTCAAGCCTTAAGACCGATGGAAGTGTGTTGGGACAGATACCAACTCACTTGAATTGACTTTTAATTTGGGTTCTCTTTGAGATAGACACCATCTATGATACATAACCATGTTCAATGGAAAAAGATACCATATTTAACTTTAAGAACCAAAAGAAAAATAAAAGCAAATATTGCTTCTTTATAAAATTGGTAGGAGTGGATAAATTCGACATATTTTTGATATTAATGCAATATTGCCCCTTTCTACTACTCCAAGGAAGAAGGAAAATGAGACAACCAAATAATAAAACAAAGAAAAATATTCATTTTCACACATTGCCTTCTTCCCTAACTCTCCTTTCTTTATAAAACAAAGAAAATATGCATATAATTGAAAAAAAACTAGTATTTCTAGTTATATTGTCATAACTCATGAGTATAAAGAAGACAGAGGCCATTAATAACAAAAGTACAGGAGATGGGGTTTGATTGGCAATAAATTTCATTTCTTCATTTATGTTAGTGCATTACCATGGGAGCCATGAATTTTCTTTTTCCCCTAAAAGTGGATTTTATAACGTGTTATTACTAGTACTGATTGTTGCAAAGAGTCATTTGTTTGCTAATGAACCAAGCTTTAAGCACGCCAAGAAAATCCAGCTGTGCTTGGGCTTGTTAAATAAGCTAACTTCTATACTCCTCTTCATTTGCTGATATGTATCATGCAAATTAATTACTACTTTGTGAGCTATGTCTTTTCTTTCATCTTTGATTGTTCAGTATATGGATATAACATTAAAGCCAAGTTACTTGGTTTGCTTATGTTCTATCAATTATTATGAAGCCATGCATATTTGTCCTTTTTCATTCAAAATTTTAGGTGCTTGATTTATAATATTATAACCTTAAAAGCGAGTGGGATGACACAAAATCCTAGTTTTCTAATCACAGTAAAATTTTTCTGTTAAGTTTTTGTTGTCATTATGTGTAAGGGTCATTGTTCAATGTTCATTATAAATATTATTATTAAAAGAGTAATAATCTGTTCTATTTTCTCATTGTAGGTCTGTGTTAAGTTATTTCAAATATGCTCCACCTCCTTTTGAACGTCTTCTTTTAACAGATAAAACCTTGCAGGCCATAGAAAAGGTACCGTCCTAGCACTTACTGACCTTTGGTTGTTTTCATAGGAGTTTAGCATGAGTATAATTGGTTACCTTGTTAGATTCATCATTATTAAGAAGCTTTATGTTTTAATTAAGTTGCTTTGGGTTATCTGTACTCTGTAGGTTCTGTTCCTTCTTTTGGCATATTAGTAACTATTTTTTTTCTGGAAAATCATTGCTAATTTTCATTTTTTATTATTCCGTTGAAACATAGAGAACTAATTTTAGAGAAAAGCCCACATCCCCTTTCTTAAATTATCAACTTCATAATGATCTAGTTGAATGGGGTGAATCGCTTATATAATGGTAACATTCCAGGCTGAAAAGAGTGAAAATGTCAGTCAGATTCTTAAAGTGGCTCCTTTGTGCTAAAATGCTGGAGGTCAGGTTTGTATCCAGTTTCACTCTTTAGAAGATCCCAAATAGCTGGGACAGATGCTAGGTAATGGCCTTTTATTTATTTATTGATAAATGAATAAGATTTTATTAAAGAAAGATCAAGATGATAAGTCAATACAGGCTACCCATGTAAAGGCACGAGCTGGTACCTCTCCTAAACCACAAAACAGTATTACATCAGACTAGAAAAAGACTTACATCAGATGATAAGTCAATACAGGCCATTACCCAAAATAATTGTACTAAGGGGCCTCAAGGGAACAATTATTTTGGGTAATGTCCTTTATTGAACACTATGCTTATTCCATTATTAAACAACATGCTTATTCCAATAGAAGATCCTAAATATCAACCCAGGCCCAACCATAAGAATTGGGCAAGGCCCAAGCCCGGCCCGAGCTTGAGGTCAATCTCGAAGCATCCAACCTAGGCCTGGCCCGAACTGAAATTTGTTGCATTTGGGTTGGGCTCGGGTTGGTCAATCAGCTCAAATTAAAATTTAATATAAAAGTATGTATATATATGCCTGCATGTATGCATATATATATATGTATGGTTTATCAAAAAAATGCATATATGTATGTACATAGGTGGGTCGGTCTTGGGTTAGGATAAGATAGGTTCGGGCTCGTTTTATCTAAGGGCTAGGCCCTGGCCTGGCCCAAAAAAACCCCAAACTTTTGGGCCCATCCCTAGCCCGAGCCCGTGTAAAATTGCGTGTTGGGTTGGGCCCACCCAAGTTGCACTACTGCAAACCCCTAAACTGGTAGACCCACTTAAACAACAATCTTTCAAAACTTCCACACAACTTGTTAGGCATATGAGAAGTGTCTTCAAACAGGCGCATTCCTATCTTTCCAGATGCACTAGCAGATTGCCATGGGATTTAGGTTCCACAAGAGGGTGCCCCTTTTCCTAAAATCCTTCATACGCCAAGAGGAGAAGAGAGACCTAAGGTTAGGGACTTGGGGGGGGGGGGTCCCAATACATATTGAAGAGCTTAAGTGCATCGGACAAAAGGACAGCAGAGTAGCTACAATCAATAAGGAGGTGGTGGTTGTTTTCTTCAGCCCCGCCACAGAGACAACGCCTGTTAACAATGATCATGCCCTTTTTCCTTAGCATGTCAACTGTAGGAATTCTGCCATGGATTGCAACCCAGACAAAAAGCACCACTTTTGATGGCATCTTCAACTTCCAAATCCATCACCAAGGGGGAGGATCACAGTTCGCATTTAGCAGGAGTTTCAGCATTGAATTGACAGTAAACATTACCAGATTTCTCTGCAGACCATCATACAATATCTCTTCTTGAAGGCTGAAGAGACGGTTGATTCAGAGATTGAAGCAGAGAAGCCATAGTATCAAGGTTCCAGTCATCTACATTCCTTCTGAACCGAGGAACCCAAACACTGTGACCAGCCACCATTTCATAACCATCACAAACCCATGCCTCTTTATCTTTGCAAGAGCAAAGATATCAGGAAAGACAGAGGACAATGGTTTGTCACTACAGCACTAGTCTTTCCAAATAAGATTCTATCACTTGCGCCTGGTTTGAACATGACATTCTTGAAAAAAAATCTGCAATTCTTCTTTTGCTGTGCACATAGAGTTAGGGGTGGCAATTGGGCGGGTTTGGGTGGGTCATCCATTAATTAACGGGTTGGGTTGTATCCATTTAGTCGTGGGTCACTAGTCGGTTGGTTAACCCAATAAAGGGATATTTAATGGGTTGGGTGAGTTGGGTCATGGTTATCCAACAGGTAAGCCATTAAGTTTTTCTATTTCAAGTTTTCTACTTTCCTCTCTCTCTCTCTCATTTGTCGCTTTGAAGTCCTATTCCCTACATAGAGTTTCTTTTCAGAGTGAAATGACTATTCGACAAGAGGATTCAGGGATATGAAAAGGGAAGCAATGGGAATTGGGAAAGTTAATGATGATGTGCCAATCCTAGAGGGAAGAACCAGTTGTGGGTGATTGCTTTTTGATTAAATTACACTTCTGGTTTTAAATTTATATTGGAAAAAAATAGCTATGAACCTCTAGCAAACTAAAGAGGTTTTGATTTGACCTAAATACCAAAAGAACAGGTGGCAAGCATACTAAGTGGGTTGTTGATGGAAAACAGAGAGGCCATTGTATTGTAGGGGTGACATCATTTCTCTTGAGGCTGAACTCCTCTTTTCAACAATCCATTTCTGTCTGATACAAGACTGAACTCTGTCATCTTGTATCCTGGTATGGGACTGTGGTCTGCCATTTCCTTGTATCTTCCCCATAGTAGGTATCTGCTTTTATTTGAGGGGCCTGCTTTCATGCCTTTTGCTTTGTAAATATGTTTTTCTCTCTTCTGATGTTGATATCAATTGAAAAAATGTAAGTGAATTGAATAGATTTTACAGGTCTGGAGGGCTAAAATGCCATTGTTTCTATTTGCCTATATTGACTTGAGATGTTAAACATACTTGACATAATGAAATGAAACTTTCTGTTTAATGGCTGACTTCCTTCTTGTTTCTCAATGAAATATCAGGATGCAACTTGTATGCTAGATGCTGTCCGAGCATCTCTCCGCTTACTTCTGATAGAGCCCAAAGTATTTTGTGGACTTTGGGATTGGTCCTGCTTTTTGGACCTTGTACAGCAATGTGCACATGTTGGGTCAGGCACTGATCCAGAGTTTTTAAAGAATATTTTGGACATTAGATGGTGTAGTATACAGATACTGTCAATCATTTTACATTTGAGTGATAGAGCAACTGAGAGCTTTGGTTTGGAAGCAGAAAAGGCTATTACATGCCTGTTCCGGTTAGTCCTATTTACTCCCTGTTAATTGCTCTAGTGCTTAAAAAATTTCTACTTGCAATAATATTCATTTACCTTTAACGTATGCAGATGGGAGGAATTCTGTCAAGATGTTTCAGTTGAAAAGGCTGGATTCTATCTTGAAGCAACTGAACTGGAAGCAAGGAATTTTGATGATGTAAACCTTGAATTTAATCAAGGATACTGTCTGCAATCTATGGGGCTTCAGTGTTCTGCAATTTCATATCTACACTCTAATCAGATTGACCAGTTAAGAAGAAACAAAGGGCTATTGATTTGGTAGGCAGGGCTTATGATTATTGATTAGTTATCATACCACATTTTTTTCTCTCTCATGGATGCCTGTTTGATATCTAGTTTGTTTCTACTTTTAGGGATGCAAAATCAGTTGGCAGCCCCTACATGTTGACTTTAACTCTGAAGAAGAGCTTTGAGATGGTTCTATTGGCAGTGAGCCAAAAATGGCCTGTTCTTCTGTATGGTCCTGCAGGTTCTGGGAAGACAGCATTGATTAGAAAGTTGGCCCAAGTTAGTGGGAACAGAGGTATTTCCTTTGATGCTGTTTTTTGTGCATAGTTGGTGTTCTTTTTAACATTTTTTAATAGACATAAATCTCTTGCACTAAAAATTTACATTTTATCAACTTTGTGGAGGGGTGGCCACAATAGATTTTATTAAAATTTGATTATAAAAGCCTATTGGTGGGGGGATGTAGATACCTTACCCCTTCAAAATCATGTACAAAGACTCCAACTCATAAGAATGTCATCAACTTCCTTAAGTTTGGCATTGTGCTCATTTTCTTAGTTTTTATTTTTTTTCTCTTTCCAGATTTTTAATCTTTTTTTTTGGGTTCATTGCTACAACAGGGCATAACCCCAAAACCCAAATCCCCCTCAACCCTGTTGAAGGTGGGATTCGATCTTAAGCCTCCACTACAACCAGCCAGAGACTTTGTCAGTTGGCACCTTCCTTTCTGGATTTTTGATCAAAAGATTTAGTGGTGTAATCTCTACACCAGGCTGTAATATTTGGTTTTTATTTTAATAAAATTTCCTTTTCTGCTATTATCAAAAAACTTAAAACGATTTAGGTTAATAAGTTTCGAGTTATTTATTTATTTCTTGATTGGTAGCAGAAAAGTACATAAAAATAACAAGAGTTACTGAGTGCACCAAAGCCCATGATACCCAAATGGGAGAGCAGAAAAGATCAAGGTAATGGTGCAATGAACATTCCTCTTTTGCTACAATGAATACTATAAGAATGTGGCACTGAAAGATTCATCCTAGCAAGAAGGCTACAAACAGAATATCACTGAAGTACAGCAAAGCCTGCATCTTAGCAGGAAGCACTAACAAAATCAAGTTAAGCATACCTAATGTTCTGGAAATTGTTATTGTATCATAAATTATAAGATAACATCTGCTCTTTTTATAAAGGTATTGAAAAACTAAAATTAGATATACCGAAACTTATGTATGTGTGTATGTATGTATTCCATCATACACACACACACACACACGGTGGAAGCCTATGATAATATAATCAAGTTTTGACTTGAAGTTCAATTAATCCATATATAGTGGCTCTTTAACCTCCATATGATGGAAACTAGTAACCAATACAGATCATATCCAGTAAGGGTTTTACAATCAAAAAAATTAAAAGAAATAGCAGAATGTCAAGGTAGGGACCAGATAACTAAATCTTAATTTACTTGGTTTGAATTGCATGAATTGTATACATTGGGAATTCATGAACTGAATTGTAGGGGTGCAATGGAACCGAGATGAGACAACCTTTAGCATGTCTTAGCTTGGTTCAACTAAAATACTTTTATATTTGATTCAAACTCTATTTTCTTGTTTGAGTTTAGTCACACTAAATATTCGATATGCTTGAGTTTGGCTCAAAAGTTAGAAAAAATAATTGAACTTGCAAGTTTGAACTTATGAGATTGAATTCGAGTCTAGATTTGAAATATCAACCCTGCCTTTTTACTTTTGAAACAAACAAGAAATATTTTTTTGATCAGTAACAAACAAGAAATATTGACAAAAATATAATTATTCTAACACAAAAACCTGCATAAAAAAATTGCTATGGAGCATTGAGAGGGGGAGGGGCTGAGAGGCAGTGAGCTAGTGAGGGTTTCTCGATTCAAAATGAAGCAACATGTTTGCCTTTTGATTTAGATAAAAACAACACTGTATAGTCTAATATTATATATTATAGATATATGTTATACAATATAAGAGAGAGAGGGTTTTTTTCGAAGAATCAAGAAGAAAGAAAATTTATTAAAAGAAAAGGTTACATCCTATCACATTGGTTGTCTAGATGACACACCAACAGCTTCAAGTACATACTTCAATTACATGTCCAAGCATTAAACTGAGAAATCAACTATATTACAAGGCTGTAACTCAAGCGATTGGACTCTGAAGCTACCAGGTATTCTATATTGTTGGCCCTATTCTCAAATACTCTTCTGTTTCTCTCCCTCCAAATAGACCAACATACTACGAAAGGGATGCAGCTCCAAACAATACTTGCTTTCTTACTTCCTTTGAACTTAGGCCACAGAGCAAAAATTTCTACTGGAACTGAAGGCTGGAAGCCGCACGACCCAAATAAAAATGAAAAGAACTTCCATATGAAGCTTGCTGTGCTGCATGAGAAGAACAAGTGGAACACAGTTTATTCCTCTTCCATGCATAAATAGCACCTGCTTGCCATATGAAATCCCCTAGATTTCAAATGTTCAGTAGTGAGAATGCTGTCATGTGCCACAAACAATGCAAAGGCCTCTACGCTTGGGGGAATTGGATTCCCCCAAACTCCTTTTATTATCTGGACTGATCCCCCCACTTCTTTGATCAATGCTTTGTAAAATGACTTGACTGTGAATCTGCCCTCCTTACATTCCTTCCACCATAGACCATCTTCTGTGCCTCTTAAAATGTTAGTTCCTTCTAACTTTTCCAATAGTAGTACACATTCTTCCACTTCTTGATCTAGCAATGAACTTCGGATTCCAGATCAGTTGCTCCCCTCTCCACTCATAACATTGACCTATTGAGACTTGTTGTTCTGTTAGTTTGTATAATCTTGGGCACACCTCACTTAACTTCCCTATCTCCAGCCACTCATCTTCCCAAAACCTCATCCTTGAGCCTTCCCCTACTCTAAATTTGATGAAACTCCTGAATTCTTGGTTAAAGCTCATAATTCCTTTCCAGACACTCACCCCATAGGATCTCCTCACTTTCTTTGATTCCCATCCAAATCTTATCACACCATACTTCCCGACAACCACCCTTCTCCACAAAGCCTCCCTCTCTCTCCCTTGCCCAAACCTCCACAACCACTTCCCTATAAGGCTATAAGTGCTTTGTTCATCAGCTTTACCCTTCTCAGCCCCAAAGGCCCAAACCCCCCTCCTTTGGTTTGCATACCTTGTCCCACTTGACTAAGTGGAATTTTTTAACTCTCCTACTCCTTCCCATAGGAAGTCTCTTTGAGCTTTTTCGATTTTCATGGCCACTTCAGTTGGAATCCTTAGCAAAGAAAGATAATATGACGGAAATTCATAAAAAAAAAAAGATAATGTGACGGAAGACTAGCCAAAACACTCTTAATGAGAGTGATTCTTCATCCCAAGGACAAGTACTTACCTTCCATCTATCCAATCTCTTTTCTACTCTTTCTAGAATTGACCTCCACACACTTGTTGATGCTGCCTTTGACTCCACTGGCATACCCAAATACATAAAAGGGAGCTCCCCTACTCTGCATTCCAGCACCCCTGCGAACTGATCCATCTCTTCTCTGCTCGTCTTTCCCACTCCTATCAGTTGGCTCTTCTCTAGGTTCACTTTCATACCAGTCAGCACCTCGAAGTTGGCTAGTAATGCTCTAAGATTCGGGACCTGATTTACTGATGCATCTAAGAAGATTAAGGTGTCATCAGCATATTGAAGGTGGGAAGTACAAAGTCCATCAGGTCCCACCTTAAATCCTTCGACCCAGCCCCTCTGTACTCCTTTCTTCATAATCAGATTTAGGGTCTCCATCACTAACAGAAACAACGACGGGGAAATTGGATCCCCTTGCCTAAGACCCCTAGAGGCTTGGAAGAAGTCGGAGGAAACCCCATTGATGAGCGAAGAAAAGGACTCCGCTGAAATACACCCGTACATCCAGCCTTTCCAGATCTCCCCAAATCCCATCAACCTCATCATTTCCTCTAAAAATCCCCATTCCACATGGTCATACGCCTTCTCTATGTCCAGCTTGCATACCAGACCTGGTTTACCACTTCTAATCCTTGAGTCTATGTGTTCACTGGCCACCAAAATCCCATCTAGGATCTGCTTTCCTTCTACAAAGGCCATCTGAGTTCCCCCCCACCTCCTGGATCACTCTCTTCAGTCTATTTGCCAATACTTTTACCAAGAGCTTGTAAGGGCTGCTTATTAAACTTATTGGCCTAAAATCTTTTATGTTCACAGCTCCACTTTTTTTTTTTTTTCCGTATTAAAGCTATGAATGTTGTATTAATTCAGAACTCTTTGTACAGTTGCAAGAAGTCCTCTTGAAGGAAATACCAGCAACACTTAATGGAGTTGAAGTTGAAACTGTCTGGTCCTGGTGCTTTGTCACCATTTACCTTCTTTAGTGCCTCATTTACCTCTGATTCTTCAAGATCCCTCTCTAACCAGCTTGCTGAACTGTCACTTAAACGACTTGGCACCAAATCTCCTAATGATACCCAACTCCAATTCCTTCCCGTATACAACTTCTTGTAATATGCCACCAGTTTTTCCTGAATCTCTCCCCATGTTTCTACTACCTCCTCCACGTTTATCCTAGTGATCATATTTTTTCTTCTTCTCCCGTTTGCAAAGGCTTGAAAAAAGCGAGCGTTCTTATCCCCTTCTTTTAGCCATAATGTTCTTGACTTCTGTCTCCATCTTACTTCTTCCCTCAGAATTAAGCCTTCTAACTCATTTTCCAAAGCCGCCAACTCAATTTGTGATTCTCTCTTGAAGTCCCCTTCCTCTCTAATTCTGTCCAAAGTGGCTAGCTTTTCTAGGACCTCCTTTTTTCTGTTTTTTTCCCCTCCAATCGAATTCTTCCTCCTTACTCTCAAATCTTCCTTGACGGCCTGGAGCTTTTTGAACACTCTACAACCTGCTGACCAAAGACTCTTGTGTCTATGTTAAATGTGCTAGCAACTTGGTATTGATGTTAGACAGTGCTGTTATTGATGGTTTGTGCACATCTTGTATTTTGAGATAAGAGATGGAGAGTGAATTAGAGGTAGTGTGGCTATATTTATTTTATATTGTTCACCATGCGAGTCCATGATCTTCTCTCTGTTTGAACATTTGACCTCAAACATTCAATCTCTAGACTTCTGTTGTTGCTCTGGAAGAGTATGAAGTAGGGTTACAACTTTGTGCACATTTAGGAGGTCTTTCACATTGAGGCTTCTGGCTTTGCGAGGTGGGCCCCACCTGGACAGCCTATAAGCCATGTTTGGTGAAAACACCAGAGAGCCCAAAATGACTTTTTGAAAGCTAAAGACATGGCTTTCCGCTGAAGCTTGTTTCATTGGCTTCTCCAAAGCAGCTCAAGCAATGCTTGAGCCCTCCCTAGTCCCTAATGGGCCCTTTGTTTTTCATGGTTAAATTCATTAATTGTGGTATGGTGAACCAAAGCCGAGATGGGGAGAAGTAACTATGATACATTAATGTAACTACTCTACATAGAAATGATTGAGTTTCTGGACTACAGAGTATTTTATCAATTGGTTTCTTGTTTTGCAAATTCATCTTGTAGTGGGGGTTCACTCAAACATCCTTCAGTGGGAAGAATTTGTGGTAATCTGATGCTTCCTAAGGTGCTCATTTAATTAGTTCCTGATGCTTGAAAATTTGCCTTGAATGCTTGATCAAGGAAAGAGAATTCAGTTGGGAAAAATAAATGTGTTATGTGCAAGAAAGAGGAAAAATATGGCAATGCTTGTTTCTTCATTGTAGCTGGGCTATGAACTTGGCTTCATGAGTTCATGAAATCTTTGTCATGTTTCCTGTTTCCTTTTGAAGCAAGGGGTTTTCTGAGGCATCTAAAAAGGATGGAACAAGAATCTTTGAAACCTTATCGAGAATTTGTGAGAATATATGCACATTAGTAAGTGATTGGCCATTGGTTGTAAAAAAATTCTAAAATACAAGTATGGTGATTTCCATGGGGAAAGAAAGGATATTTTGGTAATTTTGTAATACCTGGTTCTATATAATGAAAGTTATGGAACTAATCATGGTGATTCTAGTTTTGCATCTTTACTGACTATGACTTGTTGAAACATTAACACTTTTTAGTTTTGTTTCTATTAAGAAGATTATTAATAAAAATATCATTTATATCTAATTTTAGCTAAAATGGTTCTTTTTCATTCTAACAGTTCTGTTTATTCACATGGATGAACAAATGGATGGTAAAACATTGATTGGGAGTTATGTCTGTACGGAGCAACCTGGTGAATTCAGATGGCAACCTGGTTCTCTTACTCAGGTCCTCCCCCCCCCCCTCTCTCTCTCTCTCTMTCTCCCCTCCTCCTGCTTCTTTTCCCCTGATTAGTAGCAATATCAAGAACTGTTATTGGTTAGAGAAACAGTAGAAGACAAACAAAATACCTGGATGTTTTTATGGTGCTCTAGTGGAATAGAAACTGATCTCTTCTTCTTCTTCTTCTTTTTTTAAGGAAAGACAATTTTGTTTTCTTGGTTTGACCATTAATCATTTCTTTTGTTTATTTTATATTGTTCATTTGATCTTTTCACAGGCTGTTCTGAATGGTCTTTGGGTAGTCTTTGAGGATATTGACAATGCACCATCTGATGTACATTCCATCTTATTACCTCTATTAGAAGGTGCAAGTTCTTTTGTAACTGGTCGTGGGGAGGTATTGTCCTTTTCTTCTGATATTTAACAGTAAAATTATTATGTTGTATGAAAGTGATATAACTTTCCTATAACTTTCTTTAGTTTCTTAGACTGGGTAAACAGGTGTTACAGGAGTCACTTTTTTATGGACATTTATGAGAGCACTTGGAGCCAGTGATTGGCATATATCATGTTTTGACATGTTGCAGATGAAATAATTAAACAAAATTTTGTACTTGGGCAGCCTGGTCCCAAATTTTCATGAACTTCTATGCCTTGGTTGGCAATGTTATGGATTATAGTCTTGGTACAATTGGAGTTGGTAGATGGGGTGTTTGCATGGGCTTTCTCTAATTATCTCTGTTATACTTCCCATTTCATGCTTTTAGTTGTCTACCATGAATTGGTTATATTATTTCTTTAGTCCGTTGGGACCTTATAAGGCATGCCGGACCTTTGCAGGAAATAAGTGTAGCAGAAAGCTTCCGATTGTTTGGCACAATATCAAGTTCAAAACATGATGGTTCTCACAATGCAGAAGGTTTGTAATGCATTTTCCTCCCTTTTTTTATGCAGTTGCATATTATGTTCTTGTTTTTGGGTTTTTTGTTTGTCCCTTGTGGCGTCAATGTTTAGGAAATGTATTTTTTTCCATGCATATATTCTGGGTGTTATAGCTGTTATTGGATATGTAATTCAGTCAGAGTCTTCACCTGGATTCTATTGGTGTCCTCTCTTTAAAAGATCAATGACTCTTAGCCTTTATTATCTGTGTTCTAGTTACAAAGGTTTTTTGTCTTGAAGTCCCTTGCTGTTCTAATTTTGTACACTTGTTTGATTTAGGTTTTTGTGTCCATTATCAATAACACTTTTTTTGTGGTGGCATTTTTATTGGACTTTGCATGTATAACATTGTTCTTCTGATTTCTTTTGGTGTCTTAACCATTAGGTGAGGGAAATTCAGAGTGCTATATTGTTCTGATTATGTGGCTTCGTATTATCTGTAATGCTGTGCCAAATCTAGAAGTTCTCTATAAATGACCAACAATGAGATGCAGTCATTGGAAAGCAATTCATGAGGTTTACCCTATCTTTCTTAATGCCATTAGGTTTGATGTGGGAAGGAGTGATGGTTTTTGGAAGATCTGTGGCTAGGGTAAACTCTACTCAAAGACCAATTTCCTGAACTCTTTGCCCTCTCTATCTTTAAAGGTGAAATTGTGCCTAGACTGGGAACACCTTCTCCATTTTAGACTAGAACCTGGGCTTTAGAATAGGCTTAAGGGAAAATGAATGTTCTTCCCTGGTCCACCTACTTGACATTTTAGGGCAAGGTTTTTTTGGACCCTTCCCTTGAGGACTCTAGAATTTGGTTATTCTCATCAGATGGTCTTTGCACATTCTCCTCTTTTTTCAAAGTCTTTGTTTGCCTAATCCTCAAGGGGTTGACTTCCCAGTGAAAGAAATTTGGAGTAAGCCTATTCCACCTAAAAGTCAATCTTTCTGTTGGGAAATCTTCCTTAGTAATGTAAATACTTATGATATGCTGCAGGGAAGAAAGCTTTATGCTTACCTTTCTCTTCACATGTGTTTCATATGTAGTGTAGTGGTGACTGGTGAGACCCTATCTCATTTATTAATCTCCTGTTTCTTTGTGCATTGAATTTGGGAGTTTTTCTGTTCTCTTTTTGGATGCAGGTGGGTCCCCCCTTAAGATGTGATGGGAATTTTCAATCTTGACTTCTTGAGGCAATCAAAGAAAAGAGGGAAAGTTCTCTGGAGAGCCACTAAGGCAGCAATTAGTTGAGTAGTGTGGGAAGAAAGGAATAATAGGACCTTCTTTGAAAAAAGCGGGAATTTGGAGGAGATTATAGACAACATAAAATTGAAGGTAGTGCTGTGGGTAAAGACCTTGGATGGCTTTCAAATCTTCTCAATCATTGGCATTTTAAGAGCCTGGACCAAAATGACACAATCCTTGAGAGAAAAAGTGGATTGGAAATCCCCAGAAGGCAACAATGCCAAGTTGAACTTTGGTGGAAGTTCCCTTGGAAACTAGGGTATGGTAGGAATAGGAGGGGTTATCAGAAATTCTGAGAGAGGATTTGGCTTTATTTTAGGGGCCAATTGGTATGGGAAACTCTTTGAAGTCTGAGCTGTTGGCTCTGCTGCAAGGTCTCTGATTAGCAAAGCAGCTGAGTTTTAGGTTGGTTGAGGTGGACGGGGATTCAAAAGTTGTTATTTCATGGGAAAATTGCAATGTACATACTCCTTGGACTCTTAAACATGTGTTAAGGGAAGTGGAAAAGATTGCAAATGATGTGGAGGCTGAATTTAAGTGGATAAGGAGTGCAAATGGGTTAGCTGATTCCCTTGCCAAACAAGGGGTTATGAGGCAACAACTGTTTTGGGCTTCTATGTAACTTGGATTCGAAATTTGGGGATGGCATTCTTGTCACCAAGTTGTACTAGCCATATTTTTATCAAATATAATAAAATAAAATATATTTTCTGATGACAAAAAGCAATGAGATGCAGCCATGCAGCCATGGTTAATAACATTATCATAAGGCACCTACCTTATGATTTTTGTTGCCTAGGCTGGTACCTAGTTGCTTAGATGAGTGTCTTTTGATATGAGTGAAGTTGTTCAGAAGAGGAGACTTTCTGTTCTGGCAACAGGGGTGCAGGGAAAATGCTCAATAAAGTAATTTTTAGTTCCAAAGATTATGCTTTAAATTCGACATGTCATTGTTCTATCTTAAGGAGGAAAAGTTTTGGTGAAAGGTGGTGTAAATGGATTAAAGGATGTATTCTGACATGTCATTGTTCCATCTTGGTCAATGGTATGCTAGGGATTTCTTTCTAGCAAAATGAGTCCTTAGACAAGGGGATCCTATCTCCCCATTACTGTTCACACTAGTATCAGATGTTTTGAGTGGATTGATTTCAATGGCTGATGCTAGCACCCTATTAAATGGTTGGAGAGTGAGAATTGGGAAGAGAAGGGGTAGTGGTTACTCATTTGCAATTTGAGGATGATATCATAGTTTTTTGTGGAGAGATGGAATAATTAAACAACCTTAAAAATCTTGTCAATCAATTTGAAAAGACCTCCAACTTAAATGTAAATTGGGGTAAAAGTTGTGTGGTGGGAATAAATAGGTTAGGGGAGGAAGTCACTAGCCTAGCTAGAGTTTTGGGCTGTGAGGTTAGTGGTTGGCTTTAGAATTATTTGGGCCTACCTCTTGGGGGGAACCCAAATTTGGAGAGTTTTTGATACCCGGTCTTGGAAAGGTCTGGAAAGAAGCTAGCTGGGTGGAAAAGAAATTACATCTCACTTGTGATGTGCTTCAAAGAAGAAGGCCAAATTGGTGCCTTTTGAGAAGATTAAAAGCCTATCCAAGGACATGCAGCTACTAATTTAGTGGACTCCAAGAGCGGGCAAATGGATTTGCAGACCAGCTAGCTAAACATGTGGCTAACAGGGAACATTGTTTCTGAGCTCAGTTGTAAGGCTGAAAAGCCAAAGTTGATAGTTGGCATCTTTAAATTCTAGTGGGGTAGCCTAGGCTACTCCTAATCTGTAATATTTCCTTTTTTTCTTAATGAAATTTCCTTTTTGATAAAAATGGTGCCTTTTGCCCAATATTTGCTTCATGTGCTTTGGTTGTGGTGAGAGGGACACCTACTTATTTCCTGCCCTTTTGTCACTTGTATATGGGAGTGGTTCTCTTCTTTCTTTGGTTGCTGGTGGACTCTTTGAAGGAAGTTTCTTTAGGCAAACGAAGAAAAGGGGAAGAACTTTATGGAGAGCTTCAAGAGCAACAATACTAAGGAGGAATTGTTAGACTGCATTACCATTAAGATGGTTCATTGGGTAGAAATTATTGATTTGTTTAAGGTGTTCCCAGTTGATGATATAATCGGGGGATGGAACACAAAAGCAAATTCTTCACATTCCAAGAAACTTGGGCACCACCAACGCAACAAAGGTTTAAACTTGATTTTGATGGGAGCTCATTTGGCAATCTGGCATAGTCGGGTATAAGGGAGCTTTAAGAGATGAAGAAGGAAAAATCATTGCTTTATACTTGGGACCAATAGGCATGGGATACTTGTTAAGAGTTAAGGTGTTGGCCCTCCTTCAAGGGTTGAGATCAGTTAAACAATTGGGACTCCATCAAATTGAAGTGGAGGGGTACTCAAAGCTGGTGATAGGCTAGATGCAGGAAGTCTAGGAATCTGGATCCATAGGCACGCCATGCCTGAAATTTGGTGTCTAACAAGGGAAATTGATCTATTATCAAGAAAAAAACAAAAAACAAGGGGAATTGATCTAGCATTTAGATGGGTGATGGATTAGTCAAACAAGGGTCAACTAGGGAAGAACTTTTTCGGCCAGCATTGTAATAGTGGATGTCTTTGTAGGGTAGCATCCATAAAATGGGGTGCTTTTTCTGTATTTTTTTCTTAATCATTAAATGTGTAGGTGTTCAAGACTGCTATCAGTCTTGACCACTAAGAAATTTCAGGTTCGTTGAGAAGAGAAAGTGAAGAAGAAGTAGAAGAAATAGTGGTGAAAGAGCAGTAGAACACAGATTTTGAGGAGAAGAACAGAATGTCAATATTCTGCCGCCGCCACTTTAATTTAATATATATATGTTATGCTAGTTACATGAAAGGACATATCTGCCCTTGRTGTTTACATCATAACTGCTAACGCATAACAAACAATATAAAACTGAAACTAGGAATAACAGAATAACAAATTGACCACAGCTGTGACTAGATACATTCTACCCTACGGACAGAGTGGCCCCGCAGCTGTGGGGCCCACATCAATGTTCTCTACACTCCCCCTCAAGTTGGGAGTATATGTTCATCATTCCCAAATTGGATAGATCCGCTTCTAGCTTCTTTCTTGATACGACTTTAGTGAGGATGTCTGCTAGTTGCATACTGGATGTGATGTAAGGGAGGCATACTTCTTGAGATGGGACCCTCTCTTGTACAAAGTGGCGGTCAACTTCAATGTGTTTGGTTCTGTCATGCTGTAYTGGATTATGTGCTATATTAATGGCAACTTGATTATCACAGTACAACATCAGGCGCTTCTCATACTCAATCCCCAACTCCTCAAGTAGAGATCTTAGCCATAGGATTTCAGCCACTCCGTTGGCCATGGACCTGTATTTTGCTTCAGCACTCGACCGGGAGACAACACTTTGTTTCTTACTTCTCCAGGAGACAAGGTTTCCTCCCACAAGGGCACAATATCCTGAGGTAGACCTTCTGTCATCAACACTCC